AGAAACATTTCTTATTATTATCAATGTTGAAAACAGATGTGCTGCTTATTTTTGTTGGAAACCAACCATAATACACTTTATTTGTCAGGATTCTTTGATGAATAGAAAGTTCCAAAGAACAACATTTTTTTATGTAAATGTGTATATTTTTTAAACATTATAAATGTCTTCACCTCCCTTTTCATCATTTTAATGCATCCTTTCCAAAAAAAAAAAAAAACTCTGACCTTAAACCTTTGCATAGAAGTGTACTTAAGCTTGGCTTTGTAATACAGGCCAAAGTGGACTATGTTAATTAATGGAATATTGTATTTCACATGCAGTAGCTCTGCACAAGCATCTCATATTCCACACATACTTGCGCTATTGCTCTGTAAGTACTAGTACAGACAATGACAAATTTTGTGTTCTTTCTGTACAGTGGCCCATACACAGGAAGCTCACCACCAGACGGAGAAGCCTTTGATACACTGTGCTAAATGTGGGGAGGTGTGCAAGGGAGAGGTGTTACGAGTGCAGGCCAAACACTTCCACATCAAGTGCTTCACATGCAAAGGTGAGTGAATGAATGTCTTATGCACATATACAAACTGTCAGTCCCTATTACATATATTGGAGATATTGAGTGCCATGATGCCAAATGCTGAATGAGGAAGAGATGTAAATTAGAATTATGATACGAAATATTCAGAGACCGAATCTATTAGTCTTTAGAAAAGGAGAGGTATATACTGGACTTTTACTGTTGTCTATTTTGTAGCTCTTAAACTGAGAGCACAACAATCTAATAACATGTCTGGGTCATATTTTACCATGCACAAAATCAAAAGAAAAGCATAAGAAATTAATTTTCTTTTGATTTTACTGAACAATGTTAAGTAGACAGTTTTTGACAGGTTTTGTGCATTTGGTTGCATATTCAAAGTGAAATCCTCCCTGTCTGAGATGCTGTCTTACAAATATGCCTGGCCCATTTGTATTTGTAGTCAATATAGCATTAATATAGCATTACCTCTCTATGGACAGGTGAGGTTACCAACAACAGTGAGTCACAATTTAAATGGCAGTAGACAACATAAACTTTAATATTTTTTTTTCTATAATTAATTTAAACATTGTAATTATTATATTTTATTACAGGGTTAAGTTGTTGAATGATACAATGAAAAACTAGAACATACAGTATACACTTTTTATGTACATTTGAACCTAAAAGCTTTATATTAACAAAAACTATAATAAGTATATTTTATTAACTTGTTTTTTTATTCATTTATGGACTACTGAAATCATTGTGTAATGCTAATTTCATATCATAAGGCTCATATGACTTTGAAATATATATATTTTTAACGTAACTTTTTTCTGTTTTTTTTTAAGACAAAAGTGAAAGTGATGTGACATGTGGCCAAGTATGGTGACCCATGCTCGGATTTAGTGCTCTGCATCCCATCCAAAGTGAACACACACACACCGTGAACACACACCTGGAGCAGTGGGCAGCCATTTTTTGCTACGGCACCCGGGGAGCAGTTGGGGGTTCGGTGCCTTGCTCAAGGGCACCTCAGTTGTGGTATTGAAGGCGGGAGAGAGCGCTGTACATTCACTCCCCCCACCTACAATCCCTGCCGGTACGAGACTCGAACCTGCAACCTTTGGGTTACAAGTCCGACTCTCTAACCATTAGGCCATCGACTTTCCCACATAATGACCCCAAGGGTCATTATGTGACATTCACTACCATTGACTACCTTTCTTGCTTCAATGCTTTGTGCTGAACTTACTGACATAGTGTCTGATTTACCACGTCACTCAGGGTCATTATAGTAACCCCACCAAATCCATCTGCTTTTAACAAAACACTCAAGATTATGCTGACTATTTTGTCAGCAACCCTTGAGTCACGTAATGTCCTAGATATAATACAGTCCTACATTGCGAAGTAAATCCTGTCATGCCTGAGCTGTGATCCAATTAACCCAGAGACTTTCCCTCTGTCCCGCTGTCCCACTTCAGTTAGAGAGAGCAGCATTATGATGCAAGATCTGCTCTGTGAGAACCAGTCAAGCTGACTGACTCAGTCACATCTAATATGTGGCACATGACAATTTTTGGGGATTGATTAATACACTACAGTTCAAAGTTTGTACATTTTTGTTGTTCACATTTTAGAATAATCGTCATCAAAACTATGAAATAACACAATATGGAATTTATGTAGTGATCAGAATTGAAGTACACATGTGTGCTGGACAGTTCCTGCACTGCTCCAACTCAAATAAAATAAAATAAAATTGAAGTTTTCTACAAAACTAATTTGCAATAATATGTGTGTGTATATGGGTGTGTGTGTGTGTGTAAATATATACTGTATATATATGTATGTGTATATATATATATATATATATATATATATATTAGGGGTGTAAAGATACACGTATTCATATTGAACCGTTTGGTACGCTTTACAAACCGAACGATTCGTTGGACTAATCCCATTAA